GTTTTTTTTTTTTTTTTTTTTTTTTTGAAAAATTCATAAAATAATTTATTGGTTGCGTGATTAGAAGAGAACAAACTTTAAGAGAAAGCACGACCAAAGTTTAAATTATGTGAAGGAGTACGATTATATAAAAATTTAAAAAGAAGTAAACTAGTTAAACAATTTAGCATTTTCCATTAAAAAAATAAAACTATTTGGCATTTTTTCTAGAATTAGCCAATATAGAATTAGCTAACCAAACTATTTAGCTAATTCTATTGAATACCAAAATTTTTATTAAGCATCCTTAGCAATATCATTAGTTGATTAAGGACGCAATAAAAAATTTAAAATTAGATTAACGAGCGATAAGCTCTCAGATTAACTAATCGTCCATCGTATAAAACATTCGTAGCTTGCTTATTGAAGTCAATCCACCTCAATCCCTATGGATTGAAGTTCTTCATACATATGTCTATCTCATAAATTGCCTGCCCACTTGCTCTCTACATCAACACAACCCATATCACATCCTATATAAAAAATCGACCACATATAATCACCTCAAAATTGTCAATTGCTTGTGTTATCCTTGGCTATGTCCTTATTCCACCACCAAACTATCACCTCTTTACATTCCTTGTGTTTTCACTGACTACGCCTCTTCCAAAAGTATTATCGTTGTCTCAACCCAAAAGTCGGTCAAGTCTACATCTCTAGACATGTGATATTCAATGAATCCATCTTCCCATACCAACAAGCATCCTCCAACACATCATCCAATTCCTATCAAAATTTCATCCCACCTCTCATACTTGTTCCTACTTCAACCATCAATACAAGAAGCTCCACTTATCTCATTACTCCTGTGATGCCCCGAGATTTAACTTGGAAAGAATGTCAATCAATTTCACAACAATTTACCAGAGTTATCTATAAACCTTCAGTAAGCAATCTATCAATTATCTATAAAATTTAAACATCAATATTCAAGTCGATTCATATCTCAAAACATCATATACAATACTCAGGAACTAAACTATCAATACAAGTAGAGAAATCTATCCTGTCCTGAGTACAAAAGAATCATCTATCGATCAAAAGACAAAAACCTGAAGATCTGGATCAATTCCTATCTCCTGCTCCCGAGCCCTGACCTGAAAATATCAACCACATATAATGAGCTTTACAAAGCCCAGCAGGTCACCTAATACCTATAACTGAAATCAAAGCACGGCGATGCTATCAATATGCATGTCAATCTATCAATCTGAATCAGTCAATGGTCAATGAGTCTATGCAGTGGAAATCAAATCAGTAGTCGATGCAATCCGAAAATCAATAGTCAATAAAACCAGTCAATGCAGCGGCAGGCAAATCAATCATTTCAATTCAATCAATCAATATCCGTCAATCAAATCAATACGGTCAAATCAATGAAATCAGTCGAGAAAAGCAATACGGAACAATGAATCTATACGACAGTTAATACGGTACAGAAACAGTAGGCAGTAGTACGATGTCCATGTTCATGCTATCAATACAGTATCTATATCTATCAATGTCCATATCAATGCTCAGTAGTATCAATGTTCAGTAGTCAATCGATGAAATCAGTGAAATCGTACGATACAGTAAACCCGATCAAATCCGTAAAATCCGTAAATCAATACATTAAACATGCAATCAATACGATAATACTGAACAATGTATAATCAATGGTCATGTTGCTGTTGTAGAATTCATATTGCTGTTGTAGATATCAATATATTGGTTCTATGAAAAGAGTCGTCACTCTATTGCCCGTCGGCCGCCCGTCGGCATATAATCTCCTTATGACTCCCAATCGTTATATCAATGATCAATGGTTTAAAGGAAAGCCCGTCGGCCCACCATCCTGTACAGGTCAATATCAATCTTCAACCAATGTTCAACCAGGTTATACGTGTGTTCCAGTATCAATAATCAATCAATAATCAGTTTAATAATCAATATTAAAGCAATCTATAGCAATCATATCAATAATCAATAGCATATCAATCTAATCTATCAATTTCGGGAAAATCAGAAATCGTACGAAAATCGGGCAGAGTAACGACAGTCGGTCAAATTTACACAAAAATCCTGCAAAATCATAATTCACCAAATTACAATAGAACATTCACGACATCAATATAAGACTATTATTCTATAGAATCCAAATCAAATCACGTCCTGATATTTTTCTATTCAATTAAAATCGCGTAGAATCAATTCCGACCGATAAAATCATCGTAGAAAATAGTCAAATCGTGTACAATATTCATATCTATAACATACTAAAAGTTGTGCGGTGAAAGTCGTGTCAATACGAAATCAGGTCAAAAGTTCGACTACAAAAACACAAAACAGTGCACAACTCGATCAAAATACAAAATCTTCGAAAACAGAAATAGGGTTCGGAGTCCTTACAGCGAGACAAACAAATCTTCTAACAGCGTCGTCGGACGAAAAGCGCTCCGTGGCCTCCCAAAACCAAGCTTCCTCTTCTCTTTCCTTCTCTTTCTCTCTCCTGCCTTTTCTCTCTCTCCAAAATGAATCCAAAATATCTCAAATCCGATATTTATTAACACTGATCGTCCTGGACGATCCAAATTTCGTCCTGGTACGATGGGTTATCTGGACAAATTTCGTACAGACGAAATCCAAATTCGTCCCGGGCGACTAGCTCTCTGGACATATTTCGTACAGACGGATCGTCCCGACTGCTCCAGGTTCGTACAGACGAAAATGGCAGATTTCTTCACAAATTTCTTCAGTTCGTCCAGTACTAAAGTCAGATCGTACGGGACTAACAGCACAAAAAAAATCAGCTTTTTGAAGGGTTTTACAGAATAGTCATTATCTTCCTATTTAGATTTTAATAAAATAACCTTCAAATATAAGAATAAAAAGTAACATTCTCTTGAAAGTCATCATGATTTGAAGAATTTTTAAGATCATATGCTTATCAATCATATACATAAAAAATTTCTCAATATGATTTTAATTGTCTATAAGAAACAACAACAACAACAAGAATAGTCATTATCTTCCTATTTAGATTTTAATAAAATAACCTTCAAATATAAGAATAAAAAGTAACATTCTCTTGAAAGTCATCATGATTTGAAGAATTTTTAAGATCATATGCTTATCAATCATATACATAAAAAATTTCTCAATATGATTTTAATTGTCTATAAGAAACAACAACAACAACAACAACAACAAGCCTTTATCCCACTATGTGGGGTCGGCGACATGAATCCATTTTTCTCCATTGTGTCCTGTTAAGAGTCAAATTCTCATTTAAATCTAATAAAGAAAGGCCATTTATAATATTTTCTAACCAAGTCTTTTTAGGTATTGTCTAATTGCCTATAAGAAAATAGTGAATTTAAATGTTTAGAGACTTTCAAATGTCATGGAAGTGAGGATATGGGCTGATGATGTTTACAATATATTTGATGGTTTTGTTTTTTAAAAATATGAGCAAAAGTAGACTTTTAAAGTGACCTTTTGTATAACATCAAATAATCCTTATTTTTTTTATGTGCTTGAGAAGAATGGCTATATTACTATTGATTTTGCTAAAACTTCATCCATTTTCATGATGCAAAACAAATGTTGAGATTTTGAGTTTGAGGATTGTATGACATTGTAGACAAATTAAGAAAATTGAGAGGGTTTCACTATCCTATTAGGAAGAGATAAATAACCTCGTGTATGTCCATGAGTATATGTGTATGTCGTGTACCACCAATATATTTGATAAGCTTATCAGAACAACAAACAAATATACCTTTTCAATTTTTGGAAATTGTGCACGCATCATTCTCAGCGCTATTAATGTGTCATTAAATATTAAGCTTCTTTCTGCATTGACATCAACAATAGGAATAAACCCAAATCAGCTAAACATAAACTATGCTATTATAGAATTCGTTTTACAAGAAAGACAAAATTATGACTTGCATCACAGTATTGAAAATAATAACAGCATTACTTGTTGAGGGAGAAGATGCAATAGCAATTTATCCTCTACCATAAACACACTACAAAATAATTAGTATTTATGATATAAATCCAAGACTCAATGGGCTCTCTTACAAAAATATAAAGTTATATTGAAGAAATACATCAAAACAAAATAGCCCCTTAGTTGAAATGAGCACAAAAGCATAAAAAAAATAAAGGTTACTTTCTTTAGAAGTTGCACGAATTTGTGAAATGGCCTTCTTGGAGAATAATGAAGACTAGGACTACTAAAACTAGGACTACTAAATTTTGGTTGAGTCTCATCCAAACAATAATGAAGACCAAATGTAATCCTTAACAAGGGAAAAATAACAAAACATGATCAACAATAATCCCTAAGAACAAAGATAATACTATCAAGGATATTGTACTGTCAAAGATGATGTTGATAGTCGAAAAAATGAATAGTGAAATTTTCAGAAGTTAAGAGGGGATTGGAAGGTCACTCGTTGTTGACAAAATAATAAGTTTTGAAATTGTATTTTAAAGGAGATCACTTTATATTTATGATAAGCATTTGATAATTAGCCTGATGAAAATAATAAATGGCCAGCATCTCAATTCAGGTTAAGGGTATTTGTCAATTAGTTCATATCCAAACAATTTACCACTAGGTGATGACTTAATATTAGGGAATAAGGCGAGTCAATATCGTAAGATGGCGGCGGTTAGGTTGAGACCACTAAAACGAATACAAGAATATGGACTCAAAATCAAATCTTACACAAAGAAGTGTCATCTTCCTAGCAGTCTTGTAGGGGGAAGGATTGAGCAGCAAGTAGGCACGAAAACAGAAGAATATTAAATCATAAAAAATTTGGCATGATTGCTTATTCATAGAGTCCACCGAGAACTAGGAGTATCAATAAATAACCCAAACATGATAACGAATAAAAAAAAAATACAAGTTCGAGTTTACCTGATCATATTTCGGGTTGAGTTCAAGTTGAAATCTTAAACCAACTAAATTTTGGGTTTGTTCCTAGTTCACCTAAAAACTTGAAATTGACTCAAAATTAACCCGATTACCATTCAAATTCGGGTTAAATGGATTGTGTTTCAATTAAACTGGTCATATTCAAATTAAATAACTCATATTGATCCAAAAAATTACATGATCCATATGAAAAATGTGTCATATTCGAGTCAAGTGAGTTTAGGTCAATTTAGCTTCAACTTGAGCATTTTAACCCATATAATAAAATGAATGGGTTGGGGTCAAACCTAGTAACCGGAGTTTACATCCCCAGTTCTACCTATGAATAGCCTAAAAATAGTTGAGGATAATCCAAAATTGTAGTTGTGACATGTGAATGCGCCTATCTTGTCACTAAAATCCATGACTGAGTGGTGCGGTATAATAGATATGCATCTATACCTAAATGGGCACCACATTGACTCAAGGTCGGAAGTCCAATCCACTGACAGAGGCGAAGACTACACCTTTTTTGGCTTGTCCACAAAAAGGCGGCATCCACACAACCAACCAACAAATAACAATCGCAACCATATGGTAGCGACAACAAAAAGCATGGGCGGATTTAGGGAGGGGGGGGATGTGGAAAATGTATTGTATAAGAGTAGTTGAAATAGATGAGTATGATAATGTATAGTCTAAATAAATTTGTGTTGAAATTAATATAGATGAGCATGACAATACGTTTTTTTTTATTATCATAAAATTTATCTTCTTATAATTAACAACTATAATAAAAAAAAAAATCATAATGTCAATTTCAAGCTCAAATGAAAAAGCTTGAGAGTATTTTTAAAATTCTGGCTCCGCCACTTGCAAAAAGTAATGTCCACCCGCTAAGAAAAATTCCAAAAGGAGCCATTCTTTCTTTGTCAATATCTAGCCACTTCGGGCTCTATCACTTTATATGGATTATGGGGTTCTCCCTTTTGATCACTTCATATTTGAAGGATCATCGCAAGAAACACAACTTCAACAATACATCAAAAAAAGTGACAAAACATAGAATATTTTTCTCCACAGCAAAGGACTCGCCCGTTGCCTTGCATGCGTATGAGTACAGCAAGGAAACCGAGTAACCTGCAGCAACCATACTTCAACTGAATGTTTTGGCCTATTAAGCAAACTACTCACCAGGAATATAAGTTCCACATTGAAAATACAGTAACAAAAAAATCCAAAATCGAAAGGAATCACATTCAGATCGTTGGTTTTAAAGAGATCCAACTAAAGATGCAACAAAGAAGGAAATGGTATATAACGAATCCATGCGGATATATACACGTTTGCGTGAAATCTTACCTAGTCCCTGCGTTCCATCGCAGTCTCCCTCGCCATCGCCAGACGCCTCCTCGTCTCTCGACCGCTTCTTGCCAGATGCTTCCGCCATGACTATGAGATCAGAGATGAATCGCTCTCCTTCCCATCGATTAAACCCTCAATTTGCCTTAGCGGGTAAATAGAGAAATATTGGAACAAAGGCTTTACCGCCTTAGCGCCTGTTGCGGAAGGATTTAACAATTGGCGGATATATTTATAATATCTAAAATTTTAATATTACATATCCATCACTTATAAAATAAATATAAATGTATAAAATTATATTAATAAAATTTATAATATAATATGAATTATAAGAATGAAATATATGAATGATATATTTGATATTAAAATTTTATATGAGTGATAGAAATATAATATTAAAGTTTTAGAAATTAAAAATATAAATAGCATGAAATAAAGTGGTATGTATGCGATAATTAAATTTTAAAAAAACTTGATAATTGTTGTTAAACTTAATTAATTGTAATTAACTATTTTGACTATTTATGTCAAGATTTAATTATTTTTTTATTATTTTGATAAATTATTATATATATTTTTATATGAGAATTAAACCTATCCAACATGATCCTTCCAACATTTTTAGAATGAATAATTTTAGGTTTCGTTTAGAACATGAATAATTATAATATATAATGATTGACTCAAAAAGGATATATGAAATTAAAGTCTTAATAAATTCAATAAACTATAGAAGTGCCCAATTCATTAGTGTTTTTCGTCAATTATATGATTGAATTTAAATGAATCTGGCTGGAATGAGAGTTGTATTTAAGAAATTATATATTTGTTTCTTTGGTTGTACTTCTTTGAGAATAGAAGCTGGAATCCTGGTGTTGATATTAGGAGTCAGAGTTAGTGTTGAGTTGTTGATGATTTGTATTAGTCATGTAAATGATGAAGTGCGTTGACATTCTTAGCAATGGTAGGTGCCAAAGTCAAGGGGCATCAATGTAGCCTGGAGCTGATAATTCAGAAGACTAATTGCACAGAGGGTTGTAGTTGAGCGATGATAATCAGAGGATTATAGTCGAGTGATGATAATTGAATGATCGAAGTCTGGCGACGAAGGATGGTAACTAGGCAATAAAGGATCATAGTCGGTTGATGAAGGATTGTAGGGAAAAGGAGGTCAGAGGATCATATTAGGCGACATAGCTCGAAGTACTGTGATTGGACAACTTGGTCAGGGGGATCATAGTATGCAATGGTGGTCGCAATTAAGAGTGTTTATCCCATATAAATCCTAAGATGGGTGACCTCCAAAGAAGTTACATCAATAGGACAAAATCGTGATTTATACAGAACATTAAAAAAAAACCTAAAGGCTAGGAGAAGATGATAGAACCTTAAGTCAAGTCCTTATATAAAAATAAGGTCAACATATTTTATGAGTTATCTTATATAAGAAAGAAATAACATTAAAAAAAAAGAAATAACATAATAATATTAAAGCTGACCAGTATAAATTCATACAACAATGTTTTTTTTTTTTTTTTAATTCATACAACAATGTTGGAATTGCATGATAAATATATATTTTTGTACAAATTATTGTATGATGAAGTAGGGTGTAAACTTTGTTATATATTTTGCAATAATAATAATAATAATAGTTTGTGAAAAAAAAAAAGAATTTTTCATGAAATTTCAACATTGTTGCATGAATTTATATCCAATTTTAACATTATTATGTTATTTCTTCCCAAATAAAGAATAAAAAATTATAAAAAAGACATTAGATATTATCCTAAATGCCATTGTAATCTACAATTTAGCATAATGAAGCATTTACCTCTTGGAATATTAAGCTTTCAAGGCATTGTATCTTAAATCAATTTATCTCTTTGTTGTTGACTGCTTGGCATCAAAAATGGACAAAAGTAATATAATTCAAAGGGAATTTTTTCATTGGAAGTTATTATTAAACTAACTCTTTATCAAAGGAAATTTAATCAATAAAAACTCTCTTTTTAAAGGCAATTATTGCGTCCGATGTCCGGATTCGTCCGGACATCAATCCGGTGTCGCCACGTCACCAAGATGCATCGGGACCCAGTATATTTGGGTGATGTGGCGTCACCGGATTGGATGACCGGACGCAATAATTCGCCCTTTTTAAAAGGGAAAAAAGTGGTCATTATACATTCCAAGTAGTGCATGACGTTGTTTTTGTTTGGGATAACTTTTTTTGCTGCTTGGCTTTTTAGATAATAACTACACTTTTATCTGACTGCTACTTTCTTGTTGTTTTCTGACAACTTTCAAAATTTTTTATGGTGAAAAATAATTTTTTGCAATCAAAATAGTTAGTTTACTTTTTTTCATAGCAACTTCACAGTCAATTATAAAAAAAAACTGCAGTTGTCCCAAATAAATCCTTCAATTAGAAAGAAAAATAACTAATTGGTGTTAATTGATTTTAATATTTATTTGTAGCAATGGATTTATTTTAGTACTAATGGATCATATTGAAAAAAATGAAAATTTTGGAGGGATTTGAACTCAAACATATTTGTTGGCTATCTTTCAAAGTCAATGTAGGAATAAATCTTGATATTATCAATAATAAAGAATGATTTTTTTCCTTTTACTCCCTAAACATCTTCACCATCACTATTTTTTTCCTTTCTTTCTTAAAGTGTGTGCACCTAGTGAGAGTAGTTACCTCTAGATTTAATGTTTTATAAAATTTAAGTTTCATTTGGACGACTTTCTTACTGCTTCTTAAAGTAGCTTTTCAGTAAGAAAACTATTTTTAGTAAGAAAACCATCCCATACAAAGCTTTGGGTTTCGTTTGGGACGATTTTTTTACTGCTTCTTAAAGCAACTTTTTATTACAAAAAATTTAATTTTTATACTAAAAAGATGCTTTAAGAAGCAATAAAAAAATCATCACAAATGAAGCTTTAATTGCCTCTAGATTTATGTTTTACTAGAGTGTTCTTATATTTAATTACCTCTAGATTTTGTTAATGTAACCCAACATCTATATGCAATACTTTAAGGACATATGCAAATTCAAAAAAATATACATATTATCTAAGGATGTTAAGTTAATCAAATGACTAATATGTTTAAATTAAATAAAAATATCAATAATTAGTTAAAAAAACCCTTTTAATGTCTATCAATACACATTTCATTAATTTATAGAAACTTCTAATTCTTATATTTTGAACAAGGACATTTTTTTTCCCTTTTCTAAGAAATAATCATTGTTGACATGCAAAAATAATAAATAATTCAACCCAAAGCATCGTTTAGACATCTTATTCTCTCTAGAGATCAGAGTAGTCAGTCGTGCTTGAAAGCTCCGATTGGGATTGATTTTTAAAGAAAGATTTAGGCTTTATTTGAGACAGCTTTTTTTGTTGCTTTCTAACACAAAATTTTAGTACAAAAATTTTTTGAATTTTTTTTTTACTATAAAGCTCTTTTAGGAAGCAGTACGAAAGTTATCCCAAGCTTCATTTGGGACGGCTTTGTTATTACTTTTTAAAGTAGTTTTTTAATATAAAAATTAAAATTTGTATGCTAAAAAGTTGTTTTAAGAAGCAATAAGAAAACTGTCCCAAATGAAACCTTAATGGAAGTTGCGCGGCGATTGAAAGGTTTCCAAAAACCCTCATATAGGGGTGTCAACATTGGACCTGATCCGAAACCCGACCCAAAATCTAGATTTATGTTTTACTAGAGTGTTCTTATATTTAATTACCTCTAGATTTTGTTAATGTAACCCAACATCTATATGCAATAGTTTATGGACATATATGCAAATTCAAAAAAATATACATATTATCTAAGGATGTTAAGTTAATCAAATGACTAATATGTTTAAATTAAATAAAAAATCAATAATTAGTTAAAAAAGCCTTTTTAATATCTATCTATACACATTTCAATAATTGATAGAAACTACTAATTCTTATATTTTGAACAAGGATATCTTTTATTTCCCTTTTATAAGAAATAATCATTATTGACATGCAAAAATAATAAATATTTCAACCCAAAGCATCGTTTAGATCTTATTCTCTCTAGAGATCATAGTAGTCAGTCGTGCTTGAAAGATCCGATTGGGATCGATTTTTGAAGAAAGATTTAGGCTTCATTTGAGGAGATATTATTAGGAGCGTAGTAAGGACGAGAAGAACCGTCCGCCACAAACATTGACGGGTGCTCGGTACCGTTGGATATCGAGCACCCGCCAATGCTTGTGCGGACAGTACGCACTCCCGTATCTAATAATTTTTCTCATTTGAGATAACTTTTTTGTTGCTTTCTAACACAACTTTTTAGTACAAAAAGTTTTTGAATTAAATTTTTTTACTATAAAGCTCTTTTAGGAAGCAATACGAAAGTTGTCCCAAGCTTCGTTTGGGACGGCTTTGTTATTGCTTCTTAAAGTAATTTTTTAGTATAAAAATTAAAATTTGTATGCTAAAAAACTGCTTTAAAAAGTAATAAGAAAATCGTCCCAAACGAAACTTTAATGGAAGTTGCGTGGCGATTGGAAGGTTTCCAAAAACCCTCAGACAAAAACTCCGGCCTTTTGAAAATACCTCTGCTTCAAGATCACATAAAATTCATTATTCAAACAACCCTATCAATAAGTGGGTCTATTATACATCCAACTACAATATATTTTGTGAATAACAGTCATGGTCAAATAAAATTTTTATTATTAACAAAGACATATTTTTGGATTAAAAAACTATAAATAAAATTCATTTCTATATGAATAAATGAATTAGACAAATAAATTCATGCAACCATAAATAAACACAACAATTTTATATTACATTTGGGACAGCTTACTGCTTTCTAAAACTTTCTATTGTATAAAAAAATTATTTTAGAAAGTAATAAAAAAACTGTCCCAAACAAAATCTTAATTTCCTAAATGCAACTTTCCTCATACCAAACTCTAAACTTTGCAGTCTATTTTTACAAAAAAAAACCCAAGAAAGAAACAGTCAATTCTTCATAATAAATGCTTAAGAAATTTAAATATCCATCACAAATGCTTTGTATTTAGTTCATTCCAAGAAAAAAAAAAAAACCAAAATTCTTGTATTTCTTTAAGTTTACACTTATAATACTTGCAACCAAACAACACCTAAAATCAACTTAAAAACCATCAATTTTATAATGGAAGTAAATAATTCCATTACTCGAATCACCAAGAAATTCATGAGCTCTGAATCATCTAATTTGCCTTTTTGAGCACCACTGCATTCGCTACAAGAAATTATTCTGTGCGGATGCCGGACCGTCCGGAGGCGAATCAGAGCACGCCATGTCACCCGGTACATAGCGGATACATAGCCGCGATACACAGCAAAGGGGTGACATGGCGCATTCTGATTCGCCTCCAGACGACGTCTGCATCCGCACATAATAATTTCACTTCGCTATATCCTGCAGCAACAACTTATCAACTCAAACTCTAAAACTATCAAACAATCAACGAAACCAATAAGCAATCCAGCATTGGCAACAATCCCATATCCCACCTCAACAAAAACGCTCTAACAGCCACTAAAAAAAAAAAAAAATTATTGAGAAGAAACTAACGGCTATTGCAGCAGAAACAAGTAAAAATCAGAAACTGGAACTCAAGATGTTAACTGAACCAGTTTACAGAAATTATTCAGACAGTTTTTATAAACCTGGACGGGAAACAGATCATATTTTTTAAGGAAAGCAGCAACAAGAAGCTATTCATGGATAGCTTGAATAGCTTGATCAACCAATATGGTATCTCAAGAACATTTTTGGGTCTCAAAGTTCTTTCAGACAAACAGAGCTCAGAATTTTCTCTCACCAAATATCTGGTCGAATCTCTCCTGTAGCAGGTGGCACCCATCTGCCAGAGTTGTAAACACTCTCTCCAACCTTCCATCCTGGAACATCTTTCATAATTTTAGCCTCCTCTTCCAGGTACTTCTTCCATTCTTTCACAAATCTACAGTCATCAAGTTCCAATATTGAAGTATAAAAGAAGAAGAAAAGAAAACAGAAGTCCAACTAGAAAAAAAGGTGGGAGCTTGCCTTTCATCTTCTTCAGCTTGAAGTACTGGTATAATCGCTCTGCGAGCTGCATATTTCTCCTCCTTTTGTACCCTAGACAAATTTACAGTTGAGGTAGCAAGATTAATGTATAATTATGCATTCAACAATGACAAGAAATAGTTCAACAACGACAACAACATCAAGCCTTTGTCCCACTACGTGGGGTCGGCTACATGAATCCTTTTTCGTCATTATTTTATGTTAAAAGTTAAATTCTCATTTAAATCTAATAAAGAAATATTATTTCTAATATTTTCTAACCAAGTCTTTTGATTCAAGCAAAAATTTGGGAAAAACCCCCAAATTTTTGCGAGCAAATGAAGACTCTTCCTAGAATAAAAAAAGATTCACAAAACTTCAAAAAATACTAGACAAAATACGAAAAAATACAATTTTATAAATAAAACATAACGCTTACAACAAATGACGCTTACAAAAGGACTTACAAACTTTCAAAACATAAACTCCTAAAACTGCATTTCATTTGCTTGAGAAGAAGGATACAGGTGGGATGGTCACTTGCGGATAGAAGAAAGAGGTTAGAAGACTAGACGAAGTATAGCTCGCAAGCTATAGAGAGGAGAGAAAGGTGGAGGATATAGCTCGCAAGCTATTCCAAACAAACCCGCAGGTTTTATCCAAAAATCATCATCACAGCAACTCTTGATAACCATAAAACACCTAAAATTGTATTTCATCCGTCGCTTTGAGAAGAAGGATACAAGTGACGTCGGACTTGCGGGTATCCCGTGGGTTTTTGTGAGTGGTGATTTTTGGATAAAACCCACGGGTTTCTTTGGAATAGTTTGCGAGCTATGTCCTCCACCTTCATCTCCTCTCTATAGCTTGTGAGCTATACTTCGTCTAGTCTTCTAACCTCTTTATTCTATCGCAAAATTCCACCCCAAATGTATCTTTCTTCTCGATGGATGGAATGTAACTTTAAGTGTATATTTGTGTTTCTGTCATAGTTTGTGAGAGTCTTTTATCTTATAAAAAGTTATATTTTGTCGTATTTGTGTCTTTTTGGGTATATTTGTATCATTTTTATTGCCCTAGGAAGAGTGTTTTTGCTTGCAAAAATTTGGGGTTTTCCCAAATTTTTGCAAGCATCAAATTTGGTATCAGTGTCTTTGTGTCATAAGAGTTTATGGAGAGATGCTTTGTGTGCTAATTTTTGGAAAGAAACCTGAGGGTTTTCTTGCATAGCTTGCGAGCTCTGCCTTTTCTTCCTCTCTTTGTCTAGGAAAGCTTGCGAGCTTCTCCTCCCTTTCTTCTCAGCTTCTAACCTATTTCTTCTATCCGCAAGTTCCACCCCACATGTATCTTTCTTCTCGATGGATGGAATGCAACTTTAGGTGTATGTTTGTGTCATAGTTTGTAAGTCTTTTATCTTATAAAAAGTTATATTTTATTGTATTTGTGTCTTTTTGGGTCTATTTGTATCCTTTTTATTGCCCTAGGAAGAGTTTATTTTTGCTTGTAAAAATTTGGAGCTTTTCCAAATTTTTGCTTGCATCATCTTTTTAGGCTGCCTCTATCTTTCTTAACATAAGTAATGTGCACGGTAACAAAAAAAGCCAGAAAGCTGATCCCGTCCCTGTCCGGGGAGAAGCCAACCATCTCTCCCTTCGACAAACACACAAGAATAAGTTCGTGAAGAAAAAAAACTAAAGCAGAATTCTGCACTTTTTGGGCATGATAACTTGGATTTGTCATAATCATAGTATGATATATGTCAAAAGCAAGAGATGAGGAATCATCGCCAGTCACAAAAATGTGAAATTCAAATATTATGCATATCAGATTATGTTATCAAATCGATTGGGACCAGGAGTTATTCTCTAACATGTCAAATATTATGCTTTTGAGTTTTGATTAGATAAGATAAAGGCTGCTGATTAGGAAGATGAACAATCTACTGAGGGGAGAGTAAGAGCTCTTTCCACTGGAAAATCATCATTAAAGAACGCTAAATAGCTATATTTAAGGTAGACGTTGAGGAAGAGGAAGACAATATATCAAATGAATTGAGTGTACAAGCTGCATCTGATATTAGTAGATCACAATGCAAACTACCAAAGACTTCTCCATCTGAAAACTTCACAGAGAAATGGTGAAGCGAAGATATAAAATGCAGAACCTTGAAACTCATTCAAAACTCAATTGTAGTGCCTAGTTGAAATCAAATCAAGACCACCTGAGTCTAGCCAGATGTCAGAGATTTGGATTCCCTACTCAATAGTGAAGCAAAGGGAGCGGGGTTGTAATTCTTCAATGTAATTGGATACTCATTTAATTTTATTCCGTAGTATTGTTCTAGCATTTTAATAGAGTGGAAGTGGTCGAAATTTCTAGATCTGAGATTATGCTATGCTCCTTGCAATTTTCCACGTGATTAGAATTGCTAAATCTAAGATTCCTTCAGTTCGTCATCTGCATCTTCTAGTTTCACTGGTTCGTGTTAGTGAGCTGGAAAGAGTAATATTTCCATGCTCACCCTCAATGGTAGGCGCTCTTATCTCATTTTTCTAGAAGGAAAATTTGAGATTCTTGCTTTTTTTACCACTATTTGTCATGTGGATAAAAATTAGAGAGAACTCCTTTTTTTATCTGTCAGAAAGCCTCAGGGCAATCTTAGCCGGTGGAACCAACGAAGAACGATCCTCCACAGCCCAATCCAAAGAGAAATTGAACCGTTAATCGCGCTTTAGTCCAGATGCCACGTATCATCAGTCAGAGTTTGTTGCTTGCCTATTTAATTGTTAAAGATGCAGTTGTACGATCCTATAGAACATATCCTGTTCGAGAGAGAAAACTCTTTTATAATAGCATTTAATTTGTTTTAGGTCAAATGTCGCGTTTTAATGCATATACAAATTGATCATGATCTTCTTGCTGCTACATGAGGTGTTAGATCTATTTTACACAAATTTTCTTAAAAACTATGCACAATATTACCTTCGGTCTACTGTCATTAATTGTTTCAAATTAAAATTCTCAACAAGTAAATACCAAAGTCATCAAAATCTATTTTTACCATATTATCTTCAATAAATGATACTACTAAAATTTCTCTAGCACAACTGCTACCTACTTAATCCGTCCCAGTTTTTCTTCTACAAATTCTCTCTTTGCATTATCATTTCTAACATTCAATTTACTGTCATGATTTCTTTATTGTCTAATACTCTCTATATAACAAAGTTAGTTTGCCTGTACTTTTATAATATTTACTTTTTAAGTCCCCCTGACATCCTCTAATCATATATCAAATATTCAAACACTTCTTCATTTTAACCATCAAATTTAACTCCAAAAGGAATACACTTAACTCTACCTTCCTTTTCATTCTCTATAAAGTTGAGGTATTTTAATCATATCACACCTAATGCACTCTAGTTGAGAAATACTCATTGATAATTAACGAATACAGATCCAAATAAATAGCATATTATAGATCTTTGTTCTACTAACCATATTCCCTTAATTTTCGAAAGAAAAAAAATCCTAAAATGTACTAACTCTGAAAAGATGTCGCAACTCCAAATTAATTATTTATTTTGAATCTCTCTTGTAAGCATCCTATCCAATAAAAAAAAGACGAAAATAATGTTTATCACTTTAAATGTACTTTATTATAGTATCTTATTACTAGAGTTGTTGCAAAAAAAAAAGTGAGAATTTTTCTTAATTTATTTTATCAATAGAGTTTCCTTACTTACAAGGTTAACTCTCAAGGTTCAACGACTTTTGAGCTACTTATATCTTGTACGTAAGTAGCTTGAGCTTAAATTTAAGCTCTAAAGGCCACGAATTTGGCCCTTCTTTTTTAACTCTCAATTATGCTCAAATAGCTCTTAAATCTACTAAATACCTTGCAATTTCACATTGAATTAGCTAAACTCGAAATGTTCTTCAAAACAAACAAGTTGAGTTGCCTTTAGCTAAAATTTTTTAGTTCACACAAAGGAAGATTAGCTTGGAACTCAATTTGTCCTCATCTCTATGCAAAGCACGTCTAAGCTGTGATCCATATGCTTGAATTTGATCAAGAGTATAGAAATACACACACAAAAAAGGTCCTAAATGTCTGTACCAGCATTGGTTTTCTTTGATATTGGAGTCATGAGAGATTTCTCCCCAAAAAAGAAAGCAAATGAGGTATAATGAATGATCTTGATGGTTGGACGTTCACCAATAAAGAAACAAATAAGATGCAGTGACACTAGTGCCAAAAGTATCCTTAAAGGTGCCTACTATGAAATAGAGGTTGCATCATCCCCCTTGCAATGGGGATATAGATACTGCCAACATCAAACTATTACTAGCTCTAGACTTCACGTATATCTATCAAAAGAAAAATAGTGATCTCATTCTATAATACACAAGTCATGAAATCACATATGCACTCTCTGATTATGAAAGTGATTCCAAGGACTTTATGATGTGATTCCAAGTTTCTTATAAATGCAAACCCCTATTATTAATTCTCTCTCCCGACAACGAGAGATAACTTTTGATTAAATCTAGTCAATAGACACTGAATGCTTAGTATATAGTTATGTATGATTGAGTGAGCTCTTGGTGCATAATACTTAATGATATTGAAAAGATTTTATTTGAGAAGGGTAAATGTAGAGAGTGTTTCGCATCAAAGGGAGATTTTTAAGGCACATGAAAATATTGAGCATAGTCTCACATTAAATACTTAAAAAGTATGCTGGTATAAAATTACAAAATGGTTGGCCTTCACCCATTAGCTTAAAACTTAAAAAATTTCACCACTGGTGTATCCAGATCAACTTTGATCACCCTTCTTTGTCTTGCATTTACTATTATAAATCATAAATTCCAATAGGAGTAATAAAGACTAATTATGGCATGAAAGGAAAAAAAAAAAAGGCAACATTAGAGGACAAGATGTTTCAAAAAATTGATCAAATGGTATACTATATCAAATGAAAGAGCAGCGCACATAAAGAAGGAGACTAGTCCATTTAACTGATGAATAATACAAAATGCAAATTATCATGAGTGGTAAACAAAAGAATGAGCAATATACAAAAAAAGGTAAGCACAAGTACAGCTAAATGAACGAAGTGAGATGATGCTTCAAAGGTTCCATATAATTGAAATGACTGATTAAAAAAACAAAATCGAAATGGATCAGAGAAATACTTGAGAAAGTATATTGTACTGTAGTCATATAGGGATATAGTATGCCACAGAGAAGTCAATAGTATAGTCATAAACATGCATAACATATATATGCTTACAATGATAGAAACGGTTTACCATAACAGCTCTCATATAGAAAAATCACCGTAATAATAGATATAGGCATACATAAATAAAACACATTAATTAGTGAACTTTAACAATAAAAATAACTAGTAATTATCTTGTAAGAGTGCAAAAAGAATTGAGTGGATCGCGAGAGGAGGCCGAAGGCCTCTTCCTCGTTCGCTTTTAACGACGCCAAGTCGTGCGAGCGATCGTGTGTGAGGCGACGTCGAGTCGTGCGAGGCGCGACGTGGGGCTGCAGGGAGTAGGTAAGATTTGGATTTTCTTTTTTTTTATACAGCAGGTCAACATTGCTCAAAATAATTAAAATCAATAGCTTCGATGGGTGCATCTAATACAATCCACTTCTTCTTCATGAGATGTAGATGTAGTTGAATAAACTAAATGGTTCGAATGTGAGGCTGGTAGAGCATTAAGGTTCAAGTATCAGACAAATATTAGCTTCAAAATGCAACAAGTCTTCATAACATGATCAAACCATGCATAGTGATAAATAAATAATCTAATATCGTAAGCGATAAATAAATCAAAAGATGCGTATGTATGAAGGATCTGAAATTTCAATTTTACCAAAGTGGTGTGAAAATCGTAATTAATAGCCCTAGTAGCAATGTGAAGAATTGAATTAAAACAGGAAAACTATGACTTGTCAGGATGCATGAAAGGATAATGGGGAGGCATTATTCAAGTACTTCAAATATTTTATTGAATTAACAAAAATCTAGTAATTAATAGGAATGATCAAAATGATCCCTATCCATTTTCAAGACTTCTTAAAGTATTTAGTATCTCAATCCACCGAATTTAAACCAAGTTGGTCCTTACAACAACTTCAACATTTCTTTGGATGAAAATTAGTGGAGGAAATATTTTCATGAGGCATTTTTGGACTTCTTAGGGATAATCACATTAATTTGAGTTAGTACTAAGTAGTTAGATTAAATCTATAAAATCCAAAATACCCAAATGAAAAGCTTCTCTCTATAGATTTCCATCTAGAGAAATAATAAAGTTGATGGTATGAACAAATTGTTTTAGAATTGGTGAGTTGAGGACTAGATTATATACATCTCAAAAAGTCTAGGGTTAAAATGGATTAAATTAAAAAGACTGAGTCATTTTGATCAATAACTCTAACAGGAATAGATTCCATTTAAACACTAAATGCATATTAATTATATGTTTAAGAAAATCAAAAAGTGAATACTATTTTTTTAATGTTTACCAAAATGTGTGCCAAACAAACAAGTCATTTTTTCCTAATACAAATTAATTTAAATTAGTATTTTCTAACAAAAAAAAACCAAAGATACATATGCAAACATAATGTTGAAATGAAATCAAAAGAAACCATCTCCCTTGACTATTTTAAACCATCATAGTTAATATCAAGCTTGAATTAAAAACATTTAAGGGTTAATATTAGGTTGAAATCCAATTTAAAATGTATGCCAAAACTTATGAGATGAATAATTTGAATTTCTCTAGTGCTAATGCATTCCCCGCACGACCTTAACTAGGTTGCTAGTTGAAGTAGGTAAGGATTTATTAGAACGACACCTAAAATCATATCACACATTAACCTTATTATTATGCAAAATAGACTAGGGTTAACTAGGAAGTCACCCAACATATACTACACAACTTATACCAACTAAGATAAAAAAAATGTAGAAGTTAACCATATCTAAAATTAGAACTAGATTTTCATCATGAAATAGAGATTTTGGATGGAAAGTTAAGAGAATAGTGGACATAACTACTAGGAAAAGAATAAAGATCGCATGTTGAAAAGAAATATAGAATGGGGGGAACATCCAAAATTAGGCTTATAAGTTCTTGAATGATGGGAATAATAATTAGGAATGGGATGTGAAGCTATAAGGTATAAAGAGATTAAAGATGAAATAGTTGAGGTGAATAAAGCTATTAATAGGGTGGTTGCTATTAAGTTGATTATAAATAAAAAATAATGCTTATGCTCTTAAGTTGGATTAAAGGATAATCTAAACTCTAATTTTGGAAAGAGATGGATGAAAAATTGTGATATATACAAGTGAGGAAAAGAGTATAAATGGAATAATTATTAAAGGGATTTAAATGAGCAAATAAATTCAAGTAGGATAAACTAAGACATGTTGAGTGAGAATTACAATACAAATATATAATGAGAGAAGCTATAATTTCTTTCACAATTGCATATGATATTTCAATAAGAATCAAGACAAGTACTTGGTCACTTTAAAAAATGGAGCTAAAAACTTCCAAATAGGCCTTTCTAACTTAAAATGAAAGAATAATCCATTTGTATATCATAAAATGGTTCCTGAAGAAAATTTGACCACAAAAGATAGAGCAACAGTTATAGATGTATATCCTTCGAGCATTAAGAAACAACCAAAACAAATAATTGCCCTAGGATAAGATAGAAGATCTTGAAAACTGAGAAATCGTTAAGATTTCAAGATAATTTGTTAGAAGAGGAAAACTAAATTCTATAGAACAAAACTTGATTTAGTTAAGATAACATATCTCATTAAGACGATTATTGTAAATGTTTTAGAAGTTCAGGAATATTTAATAAATAAGTGGAGTGAAGATGCACAAAAGTTTATTTAAAAAAAATATAATTTTAGATAAAGGAAAACAAATATATTATTGAAACTTATAATGATTATTAGGAAACCAAAAATCTTGCAAATAACGTAATAAGCAAAGCAAAAGCTATAGTTCTTTTATGATTTCTATATTAGCTAACGTAATAAAAAAGGAGACATAAAAGAACTATGATAAGGAATAAGAAGTTCAAAGGCTTCAATCAAATTAGATGTATAAAAAATGAAGATAATATTATCTTAATTATAGATGAAGACATCTAGAAAAAATGAAAATGTTATTTTGAGAAAAGATTAAATGAGATGTTTAAGGAAGAAATCTTTTTAGAAGAGTGTAATATCATAAAGTATATTATAGATTGATCAAAATAAATTGATGTAGAATAGTTCTGAAAAAGATACATAAAATAAAGCTAGTATCTGAATGAGATATTTATTGAGATTTGAAGAGTTATAAAAGATACTGAAATAATTCAATTAATGAATTATTACAATGGTTAACAAAATGTCAAATGGTTGGCGAAAAATCATTGTAATTAAAGGGTATCAAAAGTATGTTTCATACAATGAAGCTATGGGAGACTAAAGGAAATATAGACATTGATACCGATATACAATGGTTTTAAGTTAGAAAAATCCACTAAGATAGTGATTTTTGTGCTAAGATAATTAATGAAAAACTATATAGAGAAAATAAATAATCCTAGTACAATTTTTATTGTTCTTTTAAGGCATATGGGAAAATACCAAGAAAGTTGATTTGATACAACAACAAAAACATCAAGCCTTTATCCCAATACGTGGAGTCGGCTACATGAAACATTTTTCTGCATTGTGTCTTGTCGTCAAAAACATCAAGTCGGATACATTATGTTTGATTTGATAAATATTCAAACAAAATGTTTATGAAATGTAAATTAAAGTTATTAAAATGTATAATGGATCATTGACTAATATAATAATTAATTGTGAGATGATAAAAAAATTTCCAATAATAGTAGGATTGCATCAAGAATAAGCATTAAAATATACCTTTTCGTATCAATTATAGATGTGATAACAAAGGATATTCAAAGTGAGGTATAATGGTTTATGTTTCTTGTATATGACGATTTAAATTATTGAACATTTAGTTAAATAAGTGAAATTTTAGAAAAATGAAACAAAGAAGTTTAAAAGATAAGGCCTTGGGTTCAATAAAACAAAGACGAAGTAAATTATATATAATTTTAATGGATGGGTGTGAGGTTAATAATGATCATCCAATATTACTAGAAAATAAAATAATATCTAGGTGTGATGAGTTCAAGTATCTTAAAAATATTGTATAGAAGAATCATAATATAGTGAGGATATAATTTCTAGAATTAAGGCCAAATGTTTATAATGCAAATGCGCCTCAGGAGTATTGTTTGATAACAAAATATTATGGAGACCTAGGGCTCATTTTATTGAGCTTTTTTACATTCTTTGCAGCCACATAAAGCTCCAACCTAAAAAAACTAATTTTAAATGAAGTTCTAAAACCACTTCATAAAGTAGCTTTCTAATGGCAGTTTCCTAACCTCTGTATGAAAAGGAGAAGCTCAACCAAATAAGTCCTAAAAACTAAATGTCATATAACTTCAATTAAGACAACCATGTTTTTCAGATTTGAGTGTAAAGTGATAAAGTAGTCAATAATGGCTAAATTGAGCATTAAAAAAATGAATGTGTCACAAATCTATACAGAATAGATAGACAAATGATTATATTAGAAAATTAGTGTGAATGTCATTCATTTAAGACCAGATAAAGGAAATTAAAATAGCTATTTCAGCAAGTAAAAAGAAAGGCGGAAGAAGCACCAAGAATTTAGGAAGGAAAGGACGTAGAACAAAGGCACATGGATAGAAGTAATGTCATAACTGATAAGATTTGCACATACAAAGTTTAACACCTCATGCAACACTCCACAAGGATAAATGATAATGAAGATTCATAAAAGCAGGTCCCAATTAATGCAATGAGACAAATGGTAAATTTTTTTATGATGGGTAAGTTGGATTCACGAAACTCCTGAAACAGTATGCAAGGAAGCAAAACAGCGACATGAAAAACCTAGCTGTTAGAAGTGAAAAGACACCACTTTTTCCTCACGATTGTTCCACGGAAGCAATGCAAGTTATTCCCCTACATATCAACACAATTCTGGCCATAAACAAAGCTATTTATAATACCATTAACAGATGAAATGATAAAAAAAAAACGTCTAAGTTCTCTCCGTTGTGCTTCTATTGAACAATAACGATAGCAGCAAGAGAGAAATAATTTTTTCACAGCTAAGGAGCTTTAAACAAGAATTGATCATTGCAAACATAATTCATCCCTTGATCAGAAAAATCAAATCAAAGCACTCAAAAGACACTATTATATTAAAAAATACCGTTAAATTCAAACCAATATCTAATAAAAAAAAATGCAACTACTTGTATTCATGACCGAAACATCCATGCGGGGATTCCAAACCTAAAACCTCAAGCGAGAGAGACAAATCCATAAGACCACAGGAATCAGAAACCATAGCAGCTCAAACCCTAGTAGTAGGTACAGAAAAGAAGATAGGGGTTTGTCTCCTACCTTCGGATCTTGTTGCCCTGGCCGATCTGATACATGCCATAGGCGAAAACACCAAAGGCAGTGAGGAAGATGGCAACGGCGCCGGGTCCCTTGGTCGGGATCCTCCGGGCGTACCTCACCGGCGGGAATCCACCCGGCGGCGGACCATCTTGCAACACGGGCATCTCCTGCACGCTCACCATCCCCGGTTTCTTCCTAATCACCGCCTCCGTCATCCTCCCAGCGACAAGAATCACCCCGCAACGCTTACCGAACTGCAGATAATCTAGATTGGTACAATCCCCACGGTCCTCTGATCAGTCACGACCTCCGCTCGTCTCCGATTTGTTTGAGGTGCGATGGAGAACAAAACATTTTGAGAGCGAAAATAAATGAAAAGCCTTTCTAAAAAAATAAATAAATGTAATCTTTATTTTTAAAAATTTATTCTATTATATATTTAATTGTTTATTAATTTTTTTTTTTTACATTTAGGCCAATTAAGATAAATTAACAAACAAATCACATACACACAATTTAGTAGTACTTTTATGTTTATAGGTAGCAATTTTTTTTTTATTTACATTTAGGCAAATTAAGATAAATTAACAAACACATCAGATACACACGACTCGAACTCAAAACTTCTTAGTTGATAGTCAAAGCTCCCAACGAACAAATGAGGTACATGTTGCAAATCTCATTTTCTTTTTCATCATAGGACGAGAAATCTAATTCAAAATGCTCGAAATATGAGAACGAATATCTTTCAAAAAATTAAACAAAAATAAAGAAATGAAGAAATTTTTTTTCCACCCAAATAACTTTAAACCAAAGATTTAGGAGAATGTTATGTTAGATATAGGTTTCGTTTGGGACGGCTTTCTTACGACGTCTTAAAATATCTTTCTAGTGCTAAAAAATTATTTTAAGACACAATGAAAAAACCGTCCCAAACAAAACCATAAACTTAGTTGCATGTTATTTTGTTGAACCTTTCATTATAGTGATGATTGAAATTATGGTTTTGTGCGCTTTACTTTGATACTCTTTTTTTTTTTTTAAGAACAATGATATTTATAATAAAATTTAGAAAATGAGCAATAATTAGATCTTATGGATACTATAAAATACAAATACAAGATTTTTACATAGTTTTTTATAAAAATCCTATAATTGTGTAATACATTGATTGCTAACATTAGTGTAAACCTAACATATTCAATGGGTTGGCCTTTATATCAACCCTAAATACATTAATAATCTACAAATTTTAAAAAAGAGCTTAATTATAAGTTAATTAAGTAAAATGAAAACAATTTTACAGAAATTTAAAAGGAGCAAAATTATCAAATTATTTGACATTTTCATAAGAAAATGCTAATATGTTTAACATTTTAAGAAAATAACAGAGAGATTAGCATTTTCTTATAGAAATATCAAATATTTTAATATTTTTGCTCCTATTTATTGTTTTTTGAAAAACTAAGCACTTGTTTTAATAATTTTGATTTAACTCTAACTTATTATAATAACTTACTTATTATAATAAGTTAGAGTTAAATCAAATTTAGATTTGAACTACAAAATATCATTTATTTTCACATATATTACTTTTTTGGGCAATAAGTAACAAAATATTAGTGCTATAATAAAATTTTAATGTTAAAAATCACCAATAAAAGTTAGAAATTCCTTTTTTTTTTTCAAATGCCTAACCATTTACTTTTACTATAATGAATATTTAATGTTTAAAACTATAAGTTCATAGCAAACCATTTCCCATATATTATTTTTCGATGAAATATTGAGCGAGCGAATGTTATTATAACGAGATTTAAATGAATAAAATCATAAATATTAGCTATATGCTTCACATATATTACATTATGGTGAGTATAATATGATTTACTAGGAAATGTGTAGATTATTATTATTATTTAATACAAACAATAGACTTAATACATAATGATGTGTATTATTTTTTTGTTAGTATTAACCAGAAATCATTTATGTAGTTTTTTTACAAATATTTCTATGACTTATGGATGCAAATATACAAAGACCATATTCATATACCAAGACTAGTAAGTCATGGCCATAGTTAATAAAAATACACTATAGTAGCAATAGCACATATCAAAGAAAGCTCTATCCAAAGTCCACTACCTCAATAGCGACAAACTTGTACAAAGATTATTGTACAAATACATAGTGTAATTATGATTTAGAGAAAGAGTTTGAATCAATAAGGTTTTAGATAATTATTGAAGGATCCCTATATATCTTTGGTCATGAGTTATACGAAAAAAAATGGTCGGCACTTTTCATATGGATTCATTTAGGATTTATTTGGGACAGTTTTCTCGCTATTTTGCTTTTTAGAAACAAATTCGTTCTTCCTGATTATCTTTTTAAGAAGTTCTATGATGTAACTTTACAATCAACTTTATAAAACGCTGCAGTCATCGCAAACAAATTATTAGTCTAAATATTGTATCAACACAACACAATGACTCCACAAACAATGTGGAGTCTCAATATTTTATCTAAATCACACTAAGAAGAGAAAATAAAAGTATATCAGTAGAGGATTACCAGAACATCTCCTCAGTGAAAAACATGCCAAATGAGAGAGCTAAGGGTGTTTCCAATGGAAGACTTAGAAAGGGCATTGGGAGGAGGAGAAGAAAAAAACAAAGGCAATAGAACATAAAAAATTGTACAAAATAAGTCAGTGCAATGATGCCAGTGAGAACAACTGGGCACAAACCTTGCTTTTCCTGGTAGATATTGAACAAGTAGAATGAGTTCTTCAACATTTTTCAGACAGCAGCACCTGGAGCTTATCTGTATATATCTTGTAATCTGGTTTGATTTAATCTGCAGAGCAAGTCTTTCAGGTTCTAGAACTACTTCAGTTATAAATTAACAGCAATCTCTCTTCTTTGGCCTCCTATATCTCATTTCCTACATTCTTCACATCATTTACATGGTGTTAGATACATAATAAAAGGAAATTTAACAATTCTGTACAACAACAGTAAGCTAGTATCTTCTCAGAAATGTATTTCTGGTATGAGAAGATAAGTTTATAGAACAATATAGGATTTGGTACAAAATGATAGTGTCAGAATCGCCGGCGACATTAAAGATTGTCATTGACATCTTTACCTTTGCATCTAACAAGAAAACTGAGCTGCTGTCTCAAATGCAAAACCTGCCAAGCACGCCATAATGTTTATAATATGCAATTATATGCTTCTGAAAGTAGCATAAAGAAGGTAGCTATTAATCTACCAACAAAATGATTCAGAAAGCAGGGAAAAAGAATAGCCAAAGAGAATGTAGCTTCTGATTCAAAAGAAAAGCACTGGAATAACGCTTTAGTGATCGCAAGTCAAACTAGAGAATTTAGCTTGTGATTCCCTATCACTTTTGATATCAAGATAATTTTGGCCAGTCCTTAAACTTAAGGGAAAATTTTATAAGATGGTGGTGAGACCTGCAATGCTTTATGGTGTCGAATGTTGGCCATTAAAAGAGAAGCATAATACTAAGTTAAGTGTTGCAGAGATAAGGATGCTTAGGTGAATGAGTGGCTTTACCCTTAGAGACAAGTTACGAAATGAGCATATACGTGAAAAGGTTGGAGTAGCTCCAGTGGAAGATGAGATTAGAGAAAGTCGCCTTAGATGGTTTGATCACATTAAATGGAGACCTTCTGATGACCCGGTTAGGAAAGTGGAGGTATTAGATTTGACTTATGTTAAGAAAGGCAGAGATAGACCTAAAAAGACTTGATTATAAAATATTAGAAATGATCTTTCTTTATTATATTTAAATGAGAATTTGACTTTTAACATGACACAATGACGAAAAAGGATTCATGTAGCTGACCCCACGTAGTGGGACAAAGGCTTGATGTTGTTGTTGTTGTTGTTGTACTGTAATTTTCAAATATCAAAAGGGGAAAGAAAAAGAAAAGAAGATGGCGCATAAAATAGAGAAGCAATTTAAAACTATACTAAAGCAATCGAAATTCTAGTGATTCCCTTTGTCATGTACAAGATCAAATATTGTTATTATTTTTAGTTATTTGAAGATGAGAAAAAAAGGTACAGAAAGCAGTAAGCTAGTATCTTCTTAGATCTCACATTCCCACATTTAATAACACTTGTCCCCTTTTCATCTTTTAAGGAAGAATTGTCTTCATCTAGGATTCTATGGAGAAGCTAGAATAAAGTCCCGTATATTACATTAAACTGAGAAGATGAACTCCTTACTCTAATTCTACACATCAATGGCTACATGACATCTACATGCAGCCCACCAAACCAAGTCTAGAGCCATCATTATCGACAATATATATCAATACATTTAGTAAAAATAATTAATTAGGATATGAGCATGATATGTATTAATAGTTAAAAAAGATGTCATAATTTATTTGTCATATTTGACTACATTTACACTTTTAAGGTGTTTCTGAAGTACAGATATCCACAATTTAGAGAATGAAACATAAACGTGTAAGAAGAGGCAAATTAAAGAATGCTTAGTATTATAAGTCCGTGGAATTATTAAGCAAGACTTATAGAAAAATCTAGATCTGCAGCACATAGAAAGCCTTCAGAACACTTTAGATCTACAGGAACATTGTAGTTGTAATAGACTGTATTTTAACTTTGTCAAATTTTTTTTCTGGAATCATTATAACTTTAAATTGCAAACCGTCTCCGTCATAGTATTTTGATTGTACTGTTTTACTTCCATAATTTTTTTTTTTTGTAATTTTTGGACACCGATGAAAATCCTTAAGAAATTAATACCTGCCAGCACAAGTGAGGATTTCAGGACCGTCAGGTGTCCGTTTTGCAAACCGAATTCACCTATATTTTCTAAATTTAATGATTTTTTTTATATATTTTTCTATAATTTTTAAAGTCCCAAATTGATTTATATGAATTTTCTATTGAAAATTGAATAAATTAAATAGTTATATTAATATTATAATAATATTTATTATAAATATCTAAATGCATTACAGAACCTTATTAAACCCTTTTTACCTTTTGGAATTCGGATAACAGAGAAGAGGTTAAGAGAATAAGTGAGAGAAAGAGAGGAAAGAAAAAATAAAACATGGGATTTTGAGGTCGCGAAGCAATTTTTGTCTGCCGATGCTGCCGAGAAAATTGCTCGTTTCGCTGTAATGAACATTTACCCTATTTCTGATTTCAAAGTTTTTGTGTTTTAGATATTTTTCCAATCAAATTTGTGTTTTCGTTACCAAAAAACGTGAATAATTTTGTATTGGTAAAACTTTCACCGCATAACTTTTTATATGTTATAGAAATTCAGATTATGAATATTTTGAGTATTTATTTGAGATTTCTCACTGTGTGATTTTGAAAATACAACGATTTTTTTCTATTCAAAAATTTAAAAAATTTATTTTGACGTCTAAAAATAGTAGTGTAGTACAATAAAAGTCTTAAAACATAGTTTACAATTCCTGGTATTTTGATAATTTTTTGAAAATGTGCATTTTTGCCTAATAGGATTTTTGTTGTCTACCATTATGATATTTTAACATTTCTGAATCAAGCTCAATTATGCTATATTTACTGTCATGTATCAAAAATGAATGTGGATATGTGCTTGAGTAATAGTTGGTCACTATTACTGTTATAATATTGTGATAATAATGTATCTGTAAAAGCCAAGTAAAGATTAATTTACCCGTTAGTTGGAGACTGATAGAAATGTACATGATGATAGAACGACGAACTTTACTTTAAATAAAGTAATTTGGTGTCATCATCTACTAATTTACGTAATACACTGGTTGGGAGTTATAAGGAGATTATTACT